AACCCTCGTCCGTGCGACTAGGTACAATTGTAACTTTTGCGTTTTTAAATTACAATAACTTTTTTTCCAGAAAACTTAGAGGGCTGGATCTTCGTGACATCTCTACATTTTTGTTGCGCCACATGTTCCCTTAATTTAAAACAAAATGGGCCACTATTTTCTGAAATAGAGGGCCGAGTTAAATTTACACCCACGTCAGAGCGCATAGGTACAATTGTACCTTCATATATCTGGTATGAAGAAAAAAGATTATTATTATTTTTAATTATATATAATTTTTTTATAAAAAAAAAGAAAAACACAAACGGAGCTAATTGATATAAGAAGCGATAATAAACTATATAAAAAAGTAACAAGCGAGACAATTCAATTTAGGAACAACGATTTAGAATATACATTTTGAAATTTTTAGAGAGTTTCTTCGCAAGAAATACACGTTGTTTTTGAAACTGAATGTTCATCACAAATTGGATAAGCACAAGATATGTAAAGCATTCGAGTTTTGCGTTGTTTCCTATTTGAGTTCCGACAGATATAGCAACGTCCAGTGATAGGGGAGGCTCCGCGGCTACCATGAGGTAATTGAAGGACAGCTGCTGTAGATGCCACAACGCGACGGCCAAGTACCATTTCTATTGCACTTCGAAGGAAATGGCTTCTCATCATCATTCGATTTGCACTTCGAGATTCAACTGAAGGCATGCATAGCTGATTGGAGAGATCTTTTAGAAACTTTCGACGTTGATTTTTTCCCTGAAACCGGGGGTTATGATTTTTGTAGATTATGTAGGATGCTAAACCAGAATTGTGATCGCAAGTAGCAGCAAATATAAACTGAACCAAATAAACATCGTATTATTTTTGTTCCGGTCAGGGCTGCCAACTATCCTTAGCTATTTGGTGCCATATTAAGGATAAAAAAGTGCCAAAATGTGCCAAATAGAAAAATAAAAGTGCCAAAAAAGGTGCTATCCTTTATAACGCTTCCCATGTAGCTAAAAAGAATCACATTTCTAAAACAAAAGTGCAATGCCAAAATAAAATGAACCAGTTGAATAACCTTTAGAAATTAGAAAATTTTAATTGAGAAAAAGAAGTACACGCAAATTATTTCACAAAAATATTTTGAAATATTGCTATTTTTCAAAAGTGCCATTTTGGCACTTTGTGCCAAATTGAAAAATTAAGTGCCATTTGATGTAAAATATTGCCAAAAATGGCACGGTTTGAGCCAAGTTGGCAGCCCTGGTTGCAGTGTATATGGCACACCAGTATGAAAAATATTGAGTACATACATATGTATGTATGGAGGGTACATATTGTTGTGGTGTACTCGTGCATTTTTCGGAGTGCATTTTATGCAGGCTACTGTGTTTCTACCCACTGGGAAAATAGGTAAGCACCTTGCGAGGTAAGCCATGTTTTCTTTCAGTTTTTAGTACCAAAATTGTCATCATGGCCAATGTCATCTACTAGTAAAGCACAAAATGAACACCTCCCACGATACATTACGTTGTCAGTTGCAAAGTAACGTGCAGCCGAAGTTATCTCCAATTGCCGAACTACTCCGAGCGACTTCTCTGCATTACACGTAACTTACTTTGTAAAGCGGCTCAGAAGTATGTCTGATACCAAATGTACATTCTAAATTCCTACTTACATAAGGCGACCATGCCTTTGTAAAAGTAAGGGACGTTCGGCAGGGAAATGGTAATGACTGCCAGGTGAAGAGTAAGTTGCTAATAAGGTATTATTAAGTGCTCCTAATTCCCACTGGGTATTTTTACTTTTTTTTAAACAATTGTCATAACAAAAAATTTCTAAACATATTCAAAATAACGTGTAATGATTAAATGTTATCAGTTTTTATGAAAAAATTAAACCCCCAGTAAAAATTCATATCAAAACTATATGAAGGTACAATTGTACCTTTGCGCCCGGTTAGCATTGTAAGAATATGCGCCTGGACGAGGGTTAATATAATATGTAAGGATAGAAGTATTAGCTTTAGTACTCAGAATTTCTATAGGGTGTCCACCTGTCTAAAAAGTTATACGATGTGTTCGTTGAGTTACAAAAAATTCAATCATTTATTATTTTTTAAGCGTTGCCACCTATCTAAAAATAATGAAATTTTCACCGTTAATTGGACTAAAAAATGAGGTACCATGTGAAAGGATTTGACCTCGGGATGTGCAATAAGCTTTTAGTTTTTTCAGCGGGGTTGCCACCTGTTTAAAAATTACTACCTTACACATAGTACGCGAAGGTTTTTTTTTTTAAATGATATCAGGTTTGCACAGTTCCTTGGATTTAAAAAGAAAAATGTGGTCTTCAGATGTGCAATAAGGTTTTATTTTTTTGGAAGAGGGTCTGTTCATTGAAATTAGAAAAGTGAGGTGTCAAATGAAAGCGCTAATGTGCTATTTTTCGAGCAGGGTTGCCACTTTTTTTATTTATAAGACTAACAAATAAGGTACCAAGTAAAAGGATATCGTCTCTGGATGTGCAATAAGCTTTAATTTTTTAGTGGGGTTTCCAAATTTTTAAAACGTATTACCGTACATATAATAAAAGGCATATTTTGTTATTGACATAAAATTTCCACAGTTCATTCAATTATAAAAAATGAGTTGTCCAATGAAAGAGCTTAACTTTGAAATGTGAAAAAAGATTTTATTTTTTCGAAGAGAGTTGCCGCCTGTACCCAAAATTGTAAGATGTGGGCTGTTCGTTGGACTAAAAATGGTAAAATGAAAGGGCTTGGCCATTAGGGGTGCAATAATGCTTTATTTTTTTTTTAATGGGGTTGCCTACAAGTTTCTCTAAATTTCACGCTATCTTTTATACTTTAAGAATACATATATTTTTATTTTCTTGCCTCACCTGCAGGTGCAGGTACTAATTTGTTTCTCTTTTGCTCATTTTATTTGTAGTTTTTTGTTTGTTTTCCTTTGCTCTTTCTTAGCTTATTAATTTGCATTCATACTTGCAGTCGTCTTTTTGGTCATTACTTATTTCTTATTTTTTGGTTTTGTCAGTTTACAGCTTTGTTATTTATTGCATTGTGCGGTCCTGTATTCAACATTTTTGTTGCTTTCATTGTTATGAATTTTGTTTTAATTGTTTTTCGCCAGCACATTCAAATTGCGGCCATTGTTTAGTCGAAATTTTTTGGTGTACGCCTTTGCCATTGCCCTGGTCTTATTGTTGTTTTTATTTAAATTACACCTCTCATCGTTATTATTTTAATCACCATTATGTGTTGTAGTGTTGTGCGCGTTGAGCATGGCAATTGTGGCTTTTTGCGGAACATATTTTCCTTTGACCATGTCAGCGGTTGTTTTGGGATGAGATTACAGAAAAAGATGATTTCTTATTTTCTGCCTAGTTTTGGTGTCACAAAAAGTTGAGGGACTTAATTTTTTTTTAATTATAAGCCATGTGCTAGACTAGTGTGAATTTTGAAGGCTTTTGATATTGTCCGACGAGGTAGTAAAATCATTTTTTGGTCTTCTGCATAGTAAAACCATTGTCCTGGCGAGCACTTTTTCTTGAAAGATCCCTGAGATCGTTGTTTCAGCGTCAGTTTTTCGCTTTGAACCGGGATAAATACTTATTGCCTTATTCATAAAAAATAAAGCAGCTTTACAAAAGGTTTATAAATTGACAAATTTATAAAAACGTTAATTTATAAAGCTTTTGAAACCTACTTCAATTTTTATGAATAAGGCCGTTAAACTTTACTTTTTTGAGCTTTAAGCACTGCTAAAATGTGTTTTTAGACATTCGCAAAAATTTAAACATTTTTTCAACGGAATTGTAATAATGAGATTTTTGATGCTGTTTTTTTTTACTTTTTATAAAAAATTGATTTATGAAAAACCTGAATAGCTGGGCCAAAACTATTCTGATTTAGACTTATCGGATCTTAGTACAAAGGTATTTTAACACTGTATTTATTTCTGTCCAAAAAAAAGTCATCCGTGTGCCAATTTTTTTTTACGAATACCAACTCATCTTAATTCAACTTTGAATGACGTTCGTTCATCCTATCTTTCTCTTTCATCCTTTGAATGCGCTTATTAGCTAAGAAATAAAAAGGGTGACAAATACCTTTCCAATGATACCTCAGAAGTCTAAATCGGAAGAGTTTAGGTTCAGTTATTCAAGTTTTTCTTACACCAAGGTTTGAAAAAAGTTAAAAGAAAAGCATCAAAATCTCATTATTACGATTCCGTTCAAATTTTTTTTTTTAAATTTTTTAAAAAATTTTTTATGCAAATTTTTTAAGCTTAAACCGTTAACCATTTAAGAAATTATTTTTATTCATAAGAAACCGCAGTTTTGGAGGTATTTTCAAATCGGTCTAGCTCACGTAAATCTTAATATTTTTCCGAAATATTTTGGTGGACGTCTTAAAATATAATAGACTTTATAATTCCAATCGACACACACTACCGATTTTTTCTTTGTATGGGCAGTGGTGCAGTCTAATGCACATATGTGTATAGTAGTAACAAAATTGTGGAGATGTATTAAGCCAATATAAAATTTTTAACATTTAAATGAAAACAAATTTAATTCAAAATTGTAAAAAAGTTTGCTAGTATGCAGTTGCATACTGAATGCATATCTTCAGCGTGTTTTTGGCTTTGGTTTCGCCTTACTAAAAAGCTACTATGGAGATATAACAGTAAACCTTTTTGTATCCAACAGTAAACCCCAACTTTTGCCTCCAACATCCGCCAGAGTACTGCATAAATATGTATGTTAATACATTAAGGCTCATTTCATCTCCCTTCTACCTTAGTTGTTTAAGAAAATGTTCAAGTCTCTCTCTGCTTAGTGATTAGTAGACAAAAATGAAAGTGAAGCAGCGCAGCAAAGTAAAAATTGCGATCCCCGTTTGCACGCTTTGGGGCGGCAGCTAAATTAAAAAATAATAAATCCCAATTTGCGCGGTCAAAGCACCATTTATACTAATCAAAAATTTTTAGGTTTATCCACAAAGAAATATATTGAGGCCAAAAACACAATTGTGATATTTACAAAAATAAAAAAGAACAAATTTTGAAGCAAGAAAGAAAATTATTAATCAAAAGCATGATTCAATAAATTCATGAATCAAAAGTAGCTAAATTCAACAAAGCGAACAACAATAAAAGTAAATAAATGTACATATATATATCTAACAAGTCTACATTTTTATAAATTTTGCACAAATTCAAGTGAACACGAAAAAAGCGCATTTCCAGCAAACCAAAAGAATATCAATATCAACCAATTGCCCCATAAACGGCAAGCAACCAAACCAACGCCATTAATTTTTTCAACTCGGCAGCGAAAACCGAGAATTCATTAAAAAATAAATAAAAAAAAAAAAAATGTGCACGAAAACATCGAAAACGCCGCTACTCTTAATTGGCGGCGTCTGCTTCGTCATTGTGCTGGTCGGCATTACTGGCGTAACGCTGATCAATAATCTCAATTTGTCCAACATCATCAAGCTGAACGAGAAAGTCGCCAGCGACAGCATGAGCGCACACGACACCGAACTGCACGAAATTAATTACGCCAATAATCATCCGAAAAATATATACAAATTCGATGAATTTTCAGCGCCATACGCATTGGCTGTAGCCAGCTACAGCTACAGCCAACACACCGCCTCATCGGCGGCAGCAGCACACGCGCTGCCACCTTCCATACACGCCAGCCCAGCGCTGACAGGTGGGGGTGGGCCGGCGGCCATTGCTGGACCAGCCGTTGCATTTGTGGATGCCGAGGCGAATAGCGGCAATGCGGCGGCAGACAAGATTATAGAAGTGCTACCACAAGCGAATGAACGGCAGCAAGGACTTGACAGCACATCTCAGAATTGGCTAAAAGAGAATGGGAAATTGCACAGCAGAGGGCTGCCGATTGCCACTAGCGCAAAAACAAATACCATAATAACTACAGAGACAGCTGCAGATGCATCAACGACATTGGTCAATAATCCACATGGAAACACCATGCAATCCAATGCGTCAGTAACTTTAAGTGCTTCCGCTCCGCCTACGTCGGCACCGAGCAACGTGAGCACCACCTTTCGCAATGCAACGAGTGTAAATACTAATAATGCAAACGCCGCATCCGCATCAGTGTCTGTTTCATCAGCCGCTGTTGACATAGCCGCTAAATTGATGTTGCCATTGATACTCAACGGTAGTGCAAGCGTATCGGTGGGCAGCGGTGGCGAAAATGGAAATGAAGAGCACAGCATTGAAGTTGATACAGCATGGGGTTTTCCAAGTGATAATCGAATGAAATCCGCTGACACGCATACATCGAAGGGTGGCACTGCCATGCAGCCAGGGCGCCTTTTAGTGCCCAGCGAAGAGGAAGGTGTCGATAAGGAGAAACGTGATCGCGTTGTAAAGGTAAAGATAAATTGTTTTTGTTTATGTGTTAAGATTGAACGCGATTTTTTAAACGTAAGTTTGCTACAAATGAACTTCAATAATTTCTTCTTTACTAAGTAATACTTCTATGTGCTTTCAAAACAATATTAACTAAGAGTTTTGGATGTAGTGGCAGGGAGTAATAACGCAAAAATACTCTTAACAGGTCCATTCAGCACTGGTAAAAACAATTTCTTACCGGTAAATAAAGTTTCTTAAAAATTTTCAGAAACTTTTCGCATTCTGTGCACTCTTGTAATCGGAAAAATTTGTTAACATTTTATTAGCTGGTAACAAAATAATGCCTTGTGAAAGATGCAATGCCAGAAGCTACATAGATGAATTGCTGAATATATTGACAACGTTAAGATATGTTCAGGCAGGCCGCTAATCGAGCAACGAAGCGAGCAAGTCTCATATACAAATCTTCTTTATGATCCAATGGTCGGACCTAAGCCATTAGTATGGGACCACCTCTGAAGTACCAAATTTCCTTTAAAAAAAGAAATATAAATCGGTTAACGTAGTCCAAAGTTATGTGGTAACATATACCAAAAAAATTTGTATATATTCCGACGAATTGATAACCTCTTCCTTTTTTTAAGTCGGTTAAAAATATTGCATGCACTTTAAATTAAATTGAAATTGAAATAACTCGACTTCAGTACCACTTATCGCTTCCATTTTTTGCAGGTTAAATTCTTTTTTTATCTGTAATACGTGTTCTTAATCGGACTTTATGTAAATTAAATTTTTTAGAATTGATCGGTTCTTGGTCCACCTACCCGGACCATAAATACGTTTTTCGAATAGGTCGATCTTTGGTCCACCTGCCGGAAATAAGTATATAACAACCTTCTCCTTTAAATCGATTCACTAATTTTTACGTGATGCACGCACAGAGAAAACGACAACATTTTTATTATACAGGGTGTGCTAGACCACCCGTCCACCCCTTTTAAAAAGAAAGAAAATGTTGTTTATTGGAAAACGCAAAAATATGAACTACCGAGTCGACGATACTTTATTTTTTATTCGTATTACCGACCTCATGTTTCGACCGAGAGTGGGTTAAACAGATCGGAAGTGGATTATTTTAGCCGGAAGTCCAATTTAGAAAAAAGAGTGGACTTTCGGCCAGTTTAGCCTAAATCCATCCCCGATATGCCGATTTATATTTTTTCGTTCTGCAATGAGTATGCAGTTTTGTAGCCCATTAAATTTTTAGTATAATAAATTACAAGTCGCTAAAAATTACCGTTAAGTTTTGAGATTGTTTTTTTTTGGCTGGGGTTGCTGGGTTGTATGGAAGAAAACGCGCAAAACAAAAAAATCTCAAAAATCAACGGTAATTTTTTGCGACTGAAAAAGTTTAAAATTTTGATGAAAATTTGTTAGAATTCGTCGAATGTTTATATGTAAATGTTCTACAAAGTTTGAAATTTTGTTTCACATGCTTTTTTTTTAGATAGTAAGCTATATTTCATGTGTCTTTCGCCACCGAATGTATATAATTTGAAATATATTTAATAAGTTTTCTTCAACTAAAATAAGTCTAAATTATTATTTTTTTTCTGTTTTAATTGCAGGTGAGTTTCTATGATGATTGTTAGTTGCTAAATGTAAGTATTGAATCCGATTTAATGCCATCTGACTAAGCGGAGCCTTCTAGCTCCACTCGGTGAGTTAAGCTTATCGGAAAAACGTCAACGGCCGAAGTGTTTGCTTCCTCAGCGGAACAGCCATTTCTGAACCTGAACTAAGCTATGCTATGGTGGTAGAACCGGGTATTGAAGTTGCCTCTATTCCACTATTTTTCATGAGGCATTATGCATTAACTCCTCCCCTTCAAAATTAATTAATTCACAAAAGATTCTCATTTTAGTTGACGCTGAGTAAAGTTTGCTGATTAATATATTTGACTATTCTAACCCTCTAGGGGTAAATTTTTCAAAAGAAACTTTAGGTAAGAATAATTATTCAAAATATCTACAATTTGCTTCTTACTAAAACATGTTTTGGTCGATTTTTCCTCAAGGTAAACACAAAACTAATTTTGAAACACAAGTTTGCTCCCTGCGCTTGTATAAGCACGCTTATGGACTTGCGTGTGTGCCTACAAACGCAAACAATGCGAAAAACCATCAAACTTGTTGATTGGCTGTATTTGTGAAGCACTAAGTTAGCATCCCCAGGCCAGAGCTACTGCGTCGTATGTACGCACAAAAGTTACAGCCATAGAAACAACTTTTTTTGTTTGTCAACAAGTCAACCCACAGCCCCATTTCTACCAAGCCACTTTGACTCGGTAAAACATTTCCCTGTTTTGATTTAAATGCCACTTATTTTAGCGGCTGCAGAGTAGCGGCTTTTTCTTTTGCCACAAAAAAAAAAACGAGCTTCAATTCACTTTTTCATAACAATTGCTTTCATATGAATTTATTATGATTGACATCCTGCCGTTTGCCACCTACCACCCCACCTACCCCTCATGCTTGTGAGCTAGCCAGCCAGCCAGCCAGCTATTTCGTTACTCAATCACTCAAATAGTGGTTGGCGTGCTTGTGTAGTTGTGACATTCGCTTGTCAATTTAAATGTCAAAATGTGGCGATTTTATTTTTTTGTTTTATAATTGTTTTGCGGCGGCTTTTGCTGTCATTTTGACATTCATAAATTTATAACTTTTGCCTTCCGACAGCAAAAATTTATGCTTACTAGATAAACTGTCGAATATTATTCAATCATTTTAGCACTCTGGTATTCTGTGGTTTTTTACATTCAATATTTCATTGATGTACGTTAAATTTGCTATATTTAATAATTTTCTCGTGTTACATATTTATGTATGTATACATATACATGCCATTTTCTTTTTCAAATTTAAATAAATCATGGAATAAGCGAGTGGACTATTATAAATAATGGTACTAATGGCCACACATGCGACGCAAAGTGTGGCAAAAGATATGACCGTATTTTGAGAGCGCAATCCTTAATCTCTGTAACACAGTTATTCACAGAAATTTCTTCATAGGATAGAATTAAATAAAAAACTTTGTTATTAACAAATACATATTTAAAAAAAAAAACAATTGTATTTTGAAATTTACCTAGTTTAATCGCTCAATGGCAAAAATATAGTCTCGTATCAAGATGAAATAAATGTCTGGATGGTTCACAAGTAAATGTTTAGAGGACTAGAAACCACAATCATCTATTTTTTAACGGTGTAAAATTTCATAAAACGACTTTTATGGTTATTTTTGCGAATCCCTTAAATATAGTTTTAGCCATTTAAAGTTGACGGCATACAACAATACGACAGTATACAACACCTTGCGAGCTCCACAATCGTTTTGTAGAGCAAGAAATTATCTAAATAATTACACCTAGAAGTATTGTGTTGCGACTGTTGAATTAAATGATAATTTTTTTGTGTGAAATATCATCGGGAAATATCGTTACTCATACGCCATCTGACTGATGCTTTGTATTTTGGCGATTTGGAATGCACCCACCCTTTTATATATAGCAATAACAAACGATAACATGACAGTAGTTGCATTATTTAGATCATTTCTTCCTTTACGAAACAACATTGCATCTCAATTTGACGAACGAGAAACAAGTTCTAAGTTATATTAGCAGCGGTGCGCTCATTACTGATAGTTTTTAAATAATTAAAAATATTTATTGTCCATTTCTTTCTTTTTATTTTAATCAGCATAACTAACGATTAAGACAGCATATCGTTCATCGCTTGCGGAACTATTTCAGTGCGTATGTAAAAGAAACATTTCAGTGCTTAAACCCATAGAATTCAATGGAAGTAGATCCCTATTTATATATATTACTATTTTTTTTTTTTTAATCCAATGAAGTTTCTTTCAGCTATCGGGCTTTGCTCATATGCTATTTTGAAGAAAATTATTCTGTCAGAAAGTGTTAAGCATGTCTAATAAGGTATGCTTTCAAAAAGCTTTGAATGGCGTTACCCTGTGGGTAAAATTTTTATTATGACGGTGAACAACCTTGTGTGCTTAGAATTTGTATATCATCGTTTAAAGTGCAAAACCGCGTATCAACAAAATGCAAAACCGCGTATGTGCAGTTGTAGAAATTATTTTCTAGAGCGTAAAAACACTCATATTTCAAAATTTTTCTTTTTTTTATAAAGCAATCGCATTTCTGGCTAGTATATTTCAGGACGAATGGAGAAGGATTGAGCCAAGAGCGTGTGTGAGCAAATCCAATTTACGCGGAATGACGATACGCGGCTTTGTACTTTAAACGACGCGTCGGAATATTTTTTTTAAACAAATTTCGTATATCCTTTGGTTTGTATAAAGTTGCTGAGACATGCTGAAATATCCGTAGTTTAATCATATAAATGCACACATATGCGTACAGATTCGCTTTTAAAGAAAGTTTTGATTATTAAATCAAATCTAAAAGTAAATAAATATGCAAATGCTAAACAAATATTTACATAATACTTGCGTGAATATTTACATATGTATGTATGTATGTATGTATGTATATTTGCTTGTAAAAAATGTGCCTTGCACATGAAATACCGGTATTTGGTTGCTGAATTTTGTTGTTTATTTATTACTATTTTTTCATCAACTTTAGTTATTTACCTAAATACTACTGTTTCATTTTATGTTTCTATTTTTGTAGCACTGTTCAAATATTTTCGAGACCGTTTGTTGATTTTTGCAAAGTGCGAATGTGTCACCAGTTCCTTATGCAAATATTTGCATGCTTTTTTTTTAGAACGTAGTGCGAATGTAAATGAGTTTTAAAAGCGAGGTCATAGAAAGAAGTGTAATTTTTGTTTGGTTATTTAATTGAAGCAAAACGAGGACAAATAGAAATATCGACAAAGTTTTTTAAAATTTATTTGTGAAAAAATTAAATTGAATAAATACTACAGTGAATTTTAAATGGCGGCTGCAGTAGGCGAGCTAAAAGT